CAGAGAGAATACGTGAAGGTACATTTTTACCATGCTGTGCATTGAAATTATGGTTACAGGCCTATCTACGTTGTGTGCATAATACGTTCATTTAGTGTGGATGTGTTTTACATAGGAGATGTAAGAATAAATGTGAGATGAATTAGTAGTAAAAACTTTTTATTTTCTAATGTATTGTCAGCCTTATTGTTGAACACTGCATATTAAACTTTTAAGACCACAGTATAGTTTTCAGTCATTTTTAACGTAGGTATAAAGATTCTTCAGAGCATGAACTGGATAGAGGCAATGTTCATTTCATGAATGGGATTGAATTGCAAAGTTTATAAATCGTTGATTATGACTTGGAACAAATTTTCCCATAGAAACGGTGTTATGTAGACTCATTTCGCAGGCCAAGTATAAACCTGTGTAATCCATAACACAGCTGAACTGTCGTACTAATGACACAATGGAATTTGACCACCCTGTGTACTTGTTTCTGTGAGAAAGTGTTCTGGGCCGGCTGTCAGAGTTCATCTCCCCACTTCAGGACTGCAGTGGTAGCAGACCCTGTCAGGGACTGCTGGTGACCCGGGGTGACTGGCTAGTCTCTGTGATCAGAGCTAAAGTATTGTTTTTACTCCTATGTGAGAACCAGTTAGTTTATCAAAGAAACTTTTTGTTTTATGGCTATAAATTTTATTCTTGGATAGTTTCTGTTAGTTGCATGATGCTTACTAAGTACCATTGCATTGGATGGATAAGGTTACCCACCATCACTGCATAAAGAATTCAAATCACTTGCTTTCCTTCTTGTTAATTTTTCTCATTCTTATGTATGAGAATCAGGTGGAAGTTTACTTCGTATAAACTACAAAAAGAACCAAGAAACTTTAATAATCTATTTGGACAGTTTTTTTGTGTTTTTTTTTTTTTTAATTTAAGGAAACTAAGTATTGGAAATTTTTTCAGTTAATGTCATGTGTTAAAATTTACACACTTGAGAATCAGTGATAATGTGTATATGCCCTTTTAAAATTCAACTTTAAAAAATTGAATAGAGCAAATTGAAATTTATCTTTAGAATAGAAAGGATCTTCCAGTTAGCCTATTAGTACCTGATTTTTTAAAAATCAACTCTACATATCAATCACATAGGTGTTTGATTTTTGAAATTAAAATTTCCTTAAAGCCGGGCTGTGTAGGCTTCTCTGAAAACTTCAGGGTCTTTTAGAATTTTCTCGCTTTCTGTTTTGTTTTTCTTTTTCTTCCTCAACAGGTCACCAGGGTTAGTTTAGAAGAAGAGCCATTTGTCTTCATTGGTCTCTGTCTTTATGTTTTGTAGTTTTTATTTTAAGGTTCTTGGCAGATGGGAGGTTTGCAGGGGTAAAGCAAACCGATCTCATCCTTTAGCTATTTGACTCAAGGGCCAGTATTTAATCTCTGTTTACACATCTGCCATGGACCCTATGGAATAGTCCCAGCACGCAGAGCCCCTGCTGCTTTCAGAGGTCTGAACTGTTGTGCAGGGAGTAGATACAGTTTCAGGTTGGATTATGAAAAACTAGTTAGCCTCTGTCTTCTGCGTGGCCACCTACAGAGAAGACTAGGTTGAAAGGAGATCCAAACTAGACTTTCTGTCAGTACATCAAATTACCTACCTGGTAATTTCAGATCTGAAATGCATTAATTTCCAGTGCACAAAGGCTGCAAAAAGATGCTTGCCTTTTTACTCACAAGGTTAGCTTTGGGTTTTGTTTTTCCATAGATTATTGTGGTCCAGGGCAGGGCAGGGCAGTCAGTCATCCCATATTTTAATTTCTTTTGTTTGAATAGGAGAATAGTAATATTTTCAACATACTAAGATATCAATGAAAATTACATCATGAAGAGCTGTGAAATACTTGAAATAAAAATTTGGACCAATATAGTATTTGCTTTTCTGATCTCTCCGTAAACTTTTTTTTTTTAGGCTAATGATGCTTATCTTCAGATGGCCATTGGAAATGCCCCTTGGCCCATTGGTGTGACTATGGTTGGTATCCATGCCAGAACTGGTAGGGAAAAGATTTTCTCCAAACATGTTGCACATGTTTTAAACGATGAAACACAGCGGAAATATATTCAGGTAAGGAGTTTGGAGGGAAAGAAACTTCTCTGGAGGTTAAGATTGTCCAATTCCAAAACTATAACATTTGAGAGAAGAATTATAGCAGATCATAGCACAATAAGATGCCAGTCCACATTTTATAAATACTTAAATACTCGTACTTAAGACATCTTCAGTGAATAAAATTAAAACCTTTAAGCTTCATATATGGTGCCAAACAGGATGGTGTTGTGCTTTAATTATCTGAGTGTTGAAATAAAACTGCAGTTTGCTTTGGGAGTTTAGTGAAAGCAACGAATTTAGAATATTGTGCAGTAAATCCCATTTTGTTATGTTCAAGGTAGATTTAACTTTTATTAGGATAGACAGGTGCGAATAGAAAAAGTTTGGCTTTAATGAATATAATTTTAAGTAACGTTTAACAACACCTCTACATGAATAGGTCTAAAGTGTTTATAGTGTATTTATTAAAGTTATAAATGCCTCAATAAACTTGTTTGCTCTTTTATTTATTAAACTTTTCCTCTTAGTGGGAAAAAAATCAGCTGTATTCTTAGCTTTTGCCAGATTGTCAAGAATCCCAGCTTGTGTCGTATAATGACTTTGCTGGATGTTAATTCCAAAGCTCAAAGATGATACTCTGAAAGTTTACTTAGAATTTAAAATTCACTTAAAATGCATAAAATGATTTCAGATTTTGTGCCAGAGAATAATCATTACCATATTCATGAATTATCTTTTTGTTTGTATTTCCATTCCAAGTGGCAAATGTTAATTTGTGTTATGCTTTATGCTTTATTCACATATATTAGCATTTTAAAAAATGATTTCAACCTGACTCCCTGATATGAACTGTAGAATTTGTAGAGTTCAAATATACTTATGGAAATTTTAGGACATTTCCATTTTTTTAATAACCACTAGTGACTGTATTGAAGGCAAAAAGCTTTTAGTTGGAAAAAACAAAATCGTTTGGCTTTAACAATAGAAAACAATTTCCAGTGATTAAATTCGCTAATTGTGTTCAGCTTATACCATGACCAAAGCTATAGCATATATAAGTTCATATAGCATATAAAAGTTCATGTAATTAGATAAATTGTCTTAATTAAATAGCATTTCTATTTAAAATAATGGCACCTCCCCATAAACTGATTTTTTTAAAGAATACCTAGCATTCATTTTATTTATTTGTTTCTGTATATTTATTAATTAAATTTGTTGGGGCGACATTGGTTAAAAACATAAGTTTTAAGTATACAGTTCTGTAATTGTTTGTATAACATATTCTGTGCTCACTACTTGTATAGTCTAGTCTCTCTCTGTCACCATATATTTGACCCCCTCTACCCTGAGTGCTCCCCCTTCCCCTCTGGTAACCACCATAACTGTGGTATGTATCCTATCGAAGGGCACTTAAGTTGTTTCCATATCTTGGCTACCATAAGTAATGCTGCAGTGAACGTGGCGGCGGGGAGTACATGTATCTTTACAAATACGTGTTTTCAAATTTTTTGGCTAGAGACCCAGAAGAGGAATTGCTGGGTCATATGGTAATTCTATTGTTAATTTTTTGAGGAGCCTTCATACTGTTTTTCATAGTGGCTGCACCAGCTTACATTCCTACCAGCAGTGTATGAGGGTTCCTTTTTCTCCACATCCTCTCCAACACTTGTTATTTCTTGTCTTATTGATTGTAGCCATTCTGACAGCTTTGCCGTGGTATCTCATTGTGGTTTTGGTTAAGTTACATTTCCCTTATAGCTAGTGAAGTTGAGCATTTTTTCATATATCTATTGGTCATTTGTACATCTTGGGAAAAGTGTCTGCTCAGGTCCTCTGCCTATTTTATAATAAGATTGTTTTTTGTTGAGTTATATGCGTTCTTTCTATGTTTTGGATATTAGCTCCTTATCAGAGGTATTGCTTACAAATGTCTTCTCCCATTTGGTTGGTTGCCTTTTTGTTTATGGTTTCTTTGTTGTGCAGGGGCTTTTTAGCCTGATGGAGTTAATATTTATTTTTAAAGCTTTCTGGTTTATATTGGAAGCTATGTAATGGCAGATATAGACTTGACAGTTCAGTCAGGTGACTCATAGCTGGTTGAGTTAGGGAAGAAGGCATGGTGTACTGAATAATGATCCATGTCTACTTGGGTGACCTCAGTACTGCCCTGTTCAACATTTTAATGACTGATTCAAATGATTCAGAGAGGTGCATTTTATCAGATTTATAGGTGACATGAAACTAGAAGGGAAAGGGTGTATGTTACGGTGGAAAAGAAATTGGCATTCTAGAAGTTCCTGACAGACTGAAGAAAAGGGCAGATTCTAAAATATATGTTTTTAAAATTTTGTTCCTTCTAGTCCACTAAAAAGATAAAAATATAATATTTAGCAAGGATGACTGTAAAGAAATTTGGATCCAGTAACTTAGTTGCTAGTTGCTTGAGCATACAATGTGAACAATGTATAAGAGAAAGAATTGGAGTTTAGTAGACTATAAGATCAGAAGTATGATTTGGCCAATGGAAAGTCTAATGACAGCTTACATTATTAATATGTTTGTTACATTATTAGACATAATAATTTAGTGTTGGTTCCACAAGGCAAGAACATAATTCAGTGTTGTACCCTCAAAGTCTAAAACAGTACCGTACTCATGGTGGATGCTCAGTGACTATTTGCTGATTGAGTGAATACTTTATCGGACATGAGTTCTTGAGAAGGAGACTCTTGGAGATTTGGGCAAGAGTTATAGGTAATGGAAGAGCTTTCTGGTGGAAGAAGGATTAAACTTGTCATGTACAGTTAAGGACCGATTTCAAGTTCAGGAAAGAAGACAGATTTCTAATCAGTATAAGAAAAAGGTTTTTTAAAAAACATTTTATTTTGAAATAATTATAGACTCAGGAGGTTGCAAAAATAGTTCAAAGAAGCCTTTTAACAGGCAGAATTGCCCCGAGATAGGAGTATGGCCACTTTGGGAGATACGGGGGCGAGTCCTACCTCTTGATGTTTGCAGGCATCGTGTTTTAACTATCGCCCTTTCTGGTCCTTCTGGCCCTTAGAATTCTGATTCTTTTCTGCAGTGTTGCTAGAGACCATTGCTTAAACCTAAGGTTGTAAACTCGCACACCCATGACAGTCAGGTAACAAAGTGGACTGAGTGTTAAGAAACACCTGACTCCTGTCTCTCTTTTGGTTTCCTACTCTTAATGTAGGCACAAATGGAAGTAGTATTTCATTTCCTCCCAGCTCTGCTCTAAGAAAAGTGGACGATGTGAGCAAGCACTGTGTGAGGTGTCAGCTGGTGCTTAGCCTCAGCCATGTCAGTCACGTTAGCTCATTGTTACCCTGTAGGAGTATGGTTCCGGTGTTGCTCCATCTTTCTGTTTTATAATCAACAGCCAAAATCTTGCTTGTTCTTTTAAAAAGTGGACACTCCTATTTTTAAAACATTAGCACCAAATTAAAAAAATTAACATTGTGGAAGGCCAAATAAAATCCCAATTTATCACCTGTGTCATTAAATCCATAATGTAGCTCAAGGCACAGGAATGCTGCCACCCCTTGTTAGAGTTCTGTGATGTTCTCGGTTAGTTAACTGAGTAATTTACTAAGCTGTCTTATGACTCTCCTTGTCGCTTTGGTATTTAGGTGAGGCTGATTCAAATTATCCTAAAAAAGGGACAATTTAAATATATTATTTAAGTTTAAGTCCAGGGTTGGCAAACCTTTTCTACCTGGGTCAGATGGTAAATATTTCAGGCTTTGCACTGCGTGAGTCTCTGTCGGGAACTCCTCAGCCCTGCAGCGCAGAAGCAGCCTGTGGCTGTGTCCAGTAGAACTCCGTTTGTGGAAGAGTCAGGGGGCCTGTGGGCCACAGTTCACTGACCCCAGTAAATGCATAAACCCAGCCTTTTCTACTTGAAGATATTTGCTGATGAGGTAATTGTGAAAGTTATTTAACAAGGTCATTATTTCTTTTAAAATTGAGATAGAACATACCTCAACAAACAATGTGGCGCATGAAAGTCTACTATTAATTGTAGAGCTCAGTGATTCTTGATATGTATAAGATATATCAGGACACACAACAAGATCTAGGTGAAGAACATTTCTAGCAGCATCTCAGAAGGTTCCTTCCTGCCTTTCCCAGCCTAAATCCTCCTCCTCCCCTCAGAGGCAGCCAGTACTCTGATTTGTGTCTCTATTGGTGAATTTTGCTTGTTCTTAGACATCATTAAGTGGAATCTTGCAATATGTGAAATAATTTCTTTTTATTTAGAGATACAGTGAGACATCTGTTTTATGAAATATGATAGAAAACAACAAGTAGCTATTTCACTGTAACATAATTTCATCTTTTGGTTTTATGTAAACCTATAGAATTTAAATTGGAAGTTTGAAGTGTTCCGTTTCTCACAAAAATTAAACACACCACAGGGAGGGTTTTCTCATGCAGATCAAAGAAAAGTTGTATAGCTTATTAGATAGCCTCAATCTTAAGGGTGAGATTTAAATTGATGGTAGAAACTTTAAGGACTTTGTTCGTTCTGCCAAATACAGATGTAGCCTTTGGCCCAGATTTGGGTAAAGCTTCTTTTACACAGATTATAGGGAGCTCTTGATTATTTAGAGACTTTATAATTCATTTTAAGACGTCTCCTGAAAAGGTTCACATCTTGGGCATTCTTTACTTGTTGGTAAAGAAGAGAAGAAAGAAAAGGTAAAATTGACATGAAATGGCTATTTGCCTCTCCCGTTCCACCCTTCCTTGCCTTGTCCTGTGCCCCGGACACCTGACTTTTATGAACAACATTGACGGGCTCCCTTGCGCTCTGGTTTCCATGTGGGGCAGTCAATGAGAAGAACTGGAAGGCATTTTGTAGGTGGGAGAACAAGTTTGGGGTCTTTATGTCCCTGGCTTCCTGCCTGTAGAGTCTCTTTCTGTCCCAGCCCATATCCTATCTGTCAGCAACCTTGATGCTTCTATATTCAGAGGATATCTGGAATCATCCTTTCTTGCCACCTCCACCACCACCAAGTGGGCCCAGCCACCGTCCTCTCTCGAAGAGATTATTGCAGTGTCCCCTCTCCGGTCTCTGAGCTTCTCTTCTTGTCCCTTTTCTGTTCGGCACCTGCACAGCACCTAGAGTGATCCAGATAAATCACAGACCGTGTTACGTTGCTCTCTTGCTCAAGGCCCCTCGGTGGCTCCCTGGCTCACTTGGAGTAGGAGGCATGGACCTTCCGGTCTCCCTCCACATCCACTCACACCCCTTCTCTGCCTTCTTTCTCCACAGCACTTTCATCATCTGACATAGTAGGTATTTTACTTATTCATTTTGTTTCTTGTTTTCCATATTTTGTTTCTTGTCTGTCTTTCCATATTAGAACATCATCCCACTGAGGGTGGGAATTTTTTCTGTATTCCCAGAGCCTAGAATAGTGCTCGACACATAGTAGGCACTGAATAAAGATTTATTAAATAAATGTTTTGCTTTGGTAAAAATAAAAATTATATTTAAAAATGGTACCAGTTTTTAAGAAGCTATTTGCAGTAAGTTAGGCTAAGCAGCTCATTGTCTTACTGGGTTAGGAACCACAAGCAATTTGAAATTGAAATCCTGACAGATCCCATTGAAACAATTTGTTTCCATTTGGAAAATAACCATATGTTGTCCTGAGATTATGCCCCTTTAAAAATCTGCTGGGTACTATCCTTATTGCAAAAAAGATAGCATAATATAAACTATTTACGACTTGGAGTGTTGATTTTCAAACCTTTTGGCAGCTGAGATTTCAAACTGGTGTTTTAAATCATAGAATCTGCTTCGTGAGGGTAAATAACCATCACAGATACCTTCTGTAAAGAACAAACACCTAGGATTCCAGTTCTTATAAGGAAAATTACCTCCAGCAGTCTTAACATCAGTTTGCCTTTTATTTGCTCATCGTAATTCCTGCCATGTTTTGTTGCTGACTAAAGCTGTTTGTGTTTCATCAGGGCGTTTTCTTTCTTACCTTTGCCTCACCTATTCCTTCAGGAAACTTCAGATGCCAAATTAATGATATCACCTATATTTCCTTGGCTACGGATCACAATTCTGCATACACATGATTAGAATTCACAGTGGGAGAGAAGCTGGACTCTGAGAAGGAATGGCCTTTATCTAAAGCAATTACTTGATTAGTGCAGAGAATTAAAAAATGAGGACCAAAGCAAATTGCATGGTCTTTCTTCACACTGCATGCAAAAGTCGTCTTGGAAATCAACCAAAAGATAACCTCCATCCACACTTTAAATTCTTAAATAGCAGAGTATAGATAATATTTGAATCTGCAAATGACTTTAACATGTTTGAAAATCATGTTTCTTTGATGTCGAACCTATTAGATTTATAGCTCAGTTTATAGAAGTAATTGCTTTGTCTTCTTACTATGGACCAAAGAGATTTTGCAGGAACTTTTGTTATTTGTTTTGTTTTGTTTTTGGTGATTTCACTGAGCTTAAGCGTTGTTTGACTCCTTAGGTAATTGCAGAGTTCTGAATGCTTGATGGTGTTTCAGGTAACTGCTATATCTTCACACTTTTCAAGGTGGATTTTTACCCTCCTGGAATTTCCAGGTGGGTTCGTCAGTTGTTGGGTTGTATAGTGATAGCGACATACTGTGCTTTTCCCATTAGGTCATAAGTTCTTTCTCCTTTTAAGAACAGATGATATTTCAGTGTATAATTTTGAGGAAAGAAATTGAATTTGGGAGCAATACTATTTAAGTAGCTGACAGTGTGCTGGGTACACTTTCATCTTCAGTATCTAATATAGGCCTGAACATGGTCGGCCTTGGGCCCCTGAGAGGATTTCATTGTTCTTGTTATTGTGATAGTAACTGGGTGATTTTGATTTTTGCAAACCCAAGCTGAGAAACTTTAACGTGCGCCAGAATGGCTTTGGCAGTCGTTAAAATTAAGTGCTACTGTTCTTGGTGGTGGTGATTTTTAATGATTAATCAGTATTGCTGTAGATACATAGATTTCTGTAAGATACTTGACAAAGTCTCTCCTTGTAAACAAGGACATTTTTAGGCTGGTAGATGGTAGAGTTAATACGATTCACTGCGGGTTGCAGAAGTCTTCCCAGAATTGTTCTGGACAGAGGGAGAGAACAGTTCTGCCCTTGTCATGAATTTGAATGACCCAGAGGCATGTTTGTTCACTGGTGGATGAGAAAGCTATGAGGAATAACTGAAAACAATGCCAGTTATGAGTTTCAAAAGATCATAGAATGGAGGATGAATTGAAAGAGACTGAACTTTAAATGTGATAGTTCTTGTCATCAGGTAAAAGTTCACTGTGAAGTTATAGGCTGGATAAAAACTGACATTTACAGAAGAGAGAGAACTGGTTATTTCCTTGCTTTTTCAAAAATAATTCTACCATGTTAGGTGTGTATTTCTAAGCAATATATTATTTTTTAACTTGTTTTAGAGTTTTATTAAAATGGTATTATACCGTATGCAGTCTTTTGCCACTTGCTTTTTACATTCACCATTGTTTCTAAGATTCAGGTATCAACTGTTCTCAACCGAGGGGTCTCCATCTGGACTGTGGGACACAGAAGATGATTTGAGTGCTTATTTCTCATTTCTCTCAAGGCTGGGACATATATGTAACACTCTTTAGTTACACAGAAGAGGAGCTGTCTCTTTACATCAGTGGATGCTTTAAACTAAGTGGCGGGGCTCAATTTTCTACTGGAACCTGGTGGAAAAAGGCAGACTTAGTTGTTACATGTAGCTCTAGTTCATTTTGACCGCTGTAGAATGTTCCATTTGAGAGCATACTAACACTTACTCATGTATTCTCCTATGGTGAACGTTGGGTTGTTTGCAGTTCTTCTGATATTGTTACTGTAAACGATTTTGCTCTGACCATCTTGTACAGATCTCTGGGTGCACATTAGTGAGTATTTCTCTAAGTCTACATCTGAGTAGTATTGCTGGGGACTGCTGCCTGTTTTAATGGGGATATTGGTACACTGGAGGGAGTACAGAGGAGAGCAGTTGCGAATAGTTTCACTATTTTATAACTAACCTGTATTTTCCTTGTTTTCTTAGGGATTGAAGAGGTTAATGACCATTTGCCAGAAGCACTTTCCTACAGATCCATCAAAATGTGTGGAGTACAATGCACTATGAGATGTGTGTATGATGTGTAAATAACAATAAGAAACTTAAGGGAGTGTGGTATGGACTTCTGGAATTCCGGACAGGAACAGGGAAGAAGAAAAATGGAGTCTCTAGACTCTGAGTTCTACCTAATGCAACTCTTGGTTTTAAGAACTATGCTGGCTCTCGTATCACATCTGACTGCAGACTGATTTCTGTGTCTTGCTTTAATTTAAATAGTCGAAAAATTAAGTTCTAAAAGACTTTTCCTCATAATTGTGTAGACAGCAGTTACAAAAGGGGTTTAAAATGAATCTTTATGTCTAGACTTGAAAGTTGCAGTTAGATACTTAAAAAGGAACATTGGAGGATGGACTTAATTGTTTCTGTAAAAATAGTGATTTTTCACTTGTCTTTTATGTCGTATTTTTAGCAGATATTTTTATATGTTTCAACAAAAATGTGGAACCATTTAATGAAATTTTATAGCCCTTAAATGTTGCCGAACTTTTGACGTCTTGCAATAGAATTTGAATGTAAATTTTATTACTGTTAAGTGTTCTTTTTTATGTTTCAAACAAAGCTTGCTTTTACCTTTTAAGGGGTGGGTGTAAATTTTCGTATTTGTCGTCTCTTGGGACAGATAGAATTAACAGCAAATAGAAGTTTGAAAAACAAAGATGGGGTATTATACCAACAGTAACCCCAGTGCATTAAGGTCAAGGTGAGGAAATAGATTGTCATGCCAGCCCAGAATGGGGACGTTCTGCTGGTTCTTCCTAGACTAGGACTGCCCACGTGTTTCATCCTCATGGGACCTGTGGTAGATTGCTGTTCCCAGCTCCATCCCACCAAGCAGAAGAAAAAGGGCCAGTAGTCTTGTCACTGCCCAAGACAGTAGGTTCTGAGTCTGATTTCCTCAAACGATAACTTCTGAATCTTGCAGTGTCATACCCAGATAATTGTGATGAATCGTTGTACTTTAAAAGTTAAGAGGACTCAGTTAATAGAGGAAGATGAGTGAAAAGAATGTTACCTGACCAGGTAGAGCGCGGTGTCCATGGTACAAGTGGGCTCTGTAGTGAGAGCTTCCTGGCTGCAGAGTTCAGCTCTCCATCTACTGGCCATGTGACAGGAGTGAGTCCCGTAGTCTTCCTGAGCTTGCTTTCTCATCTGCAGATGGTTAGTAATAGTAGTGCATACCTTACTGTGTTATTGTTGTGTTTAAGTAAAACGCTCAGCACACTGCCTGGCAAGTAATGGCTCAGTAAATATTAGTTGTGTCCTTGTTGTTGTTGTTATAAGGTGAAGCCAGAGTAGCTGTCGTGCACCCTGTGGTCGGGCAGTGTGCAGTCACATGATAACAGCAGCGACAGTGGTGGTGGCTGCAGCCGCAGCAGTAATAGTGGAAACATGTACTGAGTATTTACTGTATGCAGGCTCTGTCCTGCTTCCACTTTCTGCCAGTCCTGAGTTTAGAAAGGTAGAGGATGTGGGAGCTAGAGAGTCAGCTGAGTAGGGAGGCAGTTATAGATTCACAGTCACTTACTCTGCCCCTCTTGGGAAGACTTGGAAGCTGGTTTCGGCCACTTGGGGTCTCTGGCCATGCCTGGCTGATGGGTTGTGCTAGATATTTGCATGATGGTGGCTGAGGCCCGCTGTCCTAAACTCAATCGGGAGTCTTGTTCCTCGCCTCCTACCCTATCCCAATCCGCATTCTGGAAACTGTTTCTTATGATTAAATTAGTTAGAAATTAGAGTAGCTTCTAGGGCAAAGGAGAGAGAGCCTTTCATAAGGTAAGGCAACAGTCTAGACTTTGGTTATGTAGCGTTGTTGTGTGGGGCTCGTTTGTAAATATTGTGGAGTGAACACTCTCCAAATCACTTTGTTTATCGAGTCAGGCCACAACATGGTAGTCAGGTAATTTCGTGTTGCCTTCCCATTTGCTATTAGTTAATATTCCCCATAAAGAAGAAATTGCGTATGTGATAGCAATAACCTTCTAAAACTGATCAGTATGGATAGATGGTTTAAAAAAATATTTGTAACATATTTGACACTGCTGTGAATGTTAACCATTTTAGGTGTGGATAGAGGGAGGCAGGCTCAAAGATGTAGATCCCACATAAAAAAGTTTTCCATTTCCCTGAATCTAAAGATTTCAGATGTGGCTAGATTAAAAAAAAAAAAAAAAAAAGACCTCTTGCATACTTTGAATCATGAACATTTTTGTTCAGCAGATACTACATATTCAGTTTTTAGCTCATTCTGAAACAAAGGCATTATCTTTTAAATTCAGTCATAATCCTGAAATAACTATGTTCTTCCCTTTCTTCCTCCCCACCTCCTAACTAAAGGAGTCTTGTCTTCTGGATTCAGATTTAGTAAAAGACTGGTTTTCCCTCAGCAGTAGATGCCGTCTCTCTGGTAGTGTTCCTGCCAGCTGTAAAGGCCCAGCAGCATTTCTCAGCATCGTAGCACATAGCTGGCGGCAATCTGGAAGTCATGGCCGTGATTTCAGTCTTTGGGGAAAAGTAGGAAAATAAAGCTGAGGCCAAAGATAATTGACACATAGGAGGAGGGAGGGAGGATGGTCTGGATCTTGTAGGAAGAGGGGGGTTGTCCTGAGACACAGAGGTAGGAGGGCAGCTGTCACTAATCACAGACCTTACGGATGTGCTGTGGGCTCTGAACTCTCAATTTGGAGAAATAGGAAGTCGGATTGGTAGCAGCACACTTCTTAATGGTACGTTCTTCCTTTGGTGGTTTGCTGACCCACGAGCACTTGAGATTGCCCTGGGATTTGACCTCAGTAAAACTTTAGAAATACAACTGTCTTTTTCTTCGAAAGGAATCATTTATTCTGAAAGTAAACAGCATGGATAAAACTGAAAAACAAGTTTCAGAGTCGTGGGTAGATTTGATTTGGGGATTGCTATCACTGGGTCCTTTGCAGCTGACAGTAACCCCCATTAATACTTCGTAACATAGAAGGTAGTAGAACTGAGTGGGGCTGTTTGGGTGAAAGGGCAGCATGAAGTTGAGGTGCGGCTCTTTGTCCGAATCTCTCGAAGGGCATAACATAGCGGATCGTGCCTCCCCCTCCCCCATCTCCAGTGCGCTGCCATGAAGCTGCTGGAAGAGTAACTTGATCCCGGTGGAACGTCATGGTATGGGAACGTATGGGCGTCGTGAACTGAAGCACTTTCTCACGGCATGTTTATGTAAGAGCTTCCAGCTGTCCAGTGTGAGCAGCCAGCTCCAGTCCCCCAGGGTCGCTGTGGGAAGACTGTTATGGCAACTGGTTTTCATCACAGACTCTGCAGCTAGATTGCCTGAGTTATAACCACATGCGAGTATTTTAATGGTTAACAGTAACCTTAAAATCTTTGGAAATTTAAAAATAAGTTCTGGCGGTGTGGAATAACTAGGAGGAATTCGGCACGGTTAGCAGCAGCAGCTGTGGTGTGAGCTGACCCCATTCAGGATTTTGGAACCATGCTCATTAAAAAAAAAAATGTGTTTTACGTTTACTAAAAAAGTTGAGTTATGAACGCATTGATTACTTATTTTTCCTCATCGTAAATTTTGGGGCACTTTATACAGCCTGGCTGAGACTAACCCTTATGTTGCCGGTCGTGGTGCGTCTGTTTGACCAGGCCGTTCTCTTTTGTTTAGTCTCTCCTCCTGTCCTTAAACACTGGCTTCGAGATACTCACCAGCTTTCCCAGCTCTCTCACAGCATTCAAACTTAATGTGTCCTTTACCGTGGAGAAGTTTTGAGCTGTTTTTGAGCACTACTGCCCATCAGGTCTACTCACTGGGCTTCCTACCGCAGCCGTCAAGAATCATCTGCACCGTCTCCTCTCCTTCCCTTAGTGAACTCCGGCTTAGAGTCCCTGCCGCCCTGTTGATTGAAAGCTCTAGCTTTTGAAACTCTTTGACCATAACTCAACAATAAACAATAAATGAAGGAGACCCAGTATTACACGTATGCATATATTTCTGAAACAAGCACTTAACCACGTTATGTGCAATGCATTCTTATGTTTTCTGTTGTTTCTTTAAAAAAATATGCTGGTCATGACTATAAATTGGCTTGCAACCCATTAATGCATTGTGACCAGCAGTTTGAAAACCACTGATTAAAAGGAATTATCAGAGTTGAGGAAGGAAATAACCTGGTGGGTGAATTCAGGGCATAAGGACTCTACTTTTTATAATTTTTTAAAATACAGAGATATAGAGATAGCACTTATCTCTCAAGGTTAGTGTGAAATTTAGCAGATTATAAAACCTGAGTACACATGCTACATACTTTTGAAGCAGCGACTCTTAGGTTTAAATGAGGAGACTTGTCTGTAGAGGGTAGGAAGAACCAAGACAAGCAGCATATAAGCCATCTGTAAAATTGTCAGGATAGGTGATTGATTACCTTAGGCTGATTGTAAATTGTAAACCGAGATTAAACAAGGGATTATAAAATAAAGGGGAGATCATTTGAAGTGTGAGGTAGGGTTGAGACAGAGAGAGATATAAGGAGCCTAATATTATGTATCGAGTATCTGTTGAGAGTTTGTTCAGCTCTTTGAGGATTATTTTCCAAGACTCGGCTAGATTACATTTCCTTTCATGTAAATTTTTTATTGAAATATACATACAGAAAAGTACACAAAGCAGAAGCATATATACCACACGATGATAAATTCATCAAAGTGAACATCTCCCAAAGTAATTAGCGTACAGGTTAGGAAAGATGTTATTAATGCCCCAGAAAGCCTTTCACACCCCTTTGTAGACATAGCCATGGTTCTGATTTCTAACATTGTTTAAAGAAGACATCTTTATTGATCTGTAATGCCATAAAATTCACCCATTTAAAGTGTATAATGATTTTTAGAATATTTAGAGTTGTGCAACCATCAGCACAAAGTTCGGAACATTTTCATCACCCCAAGAAGAAACCCATGGCCATTAGTAGTCATTCCCCACATGGGTTAGTTTGCCTGTTTTTCTATTTGCCCATTTATAAATGGAGTCAAACAGTAAGGTTGACTTTTTATATTTGATTTCTTTGTCTCGATTTATGGTTTCTGATAGTCGTCTTTGTTGTGTGTAGTTGTGGTTCGTTCATTGCTGTATCCCACAGTTTATCCATTCTACTGTAGATAAACATTCGAGTTGTTCCTAGTTTGTATATGAACATTGTATATGCGGTTTTTGATGAATATAAATTTCTGTAGGGTATATACCAAGATGTGAAATTTGTGGGACGTAAGGTCTGCAGGTACTCAGCTCTAGAAGATACCGTCAGAGTTTTCCTGGGGCTAACACCAGTTTTCACTCCCACAGTAGGGGCTGAGAGTTCCAGGTGCTCCACGTCCTGGCCACACTTGGTATATCCTCTGTCAGTTTCACTTGAGCCTTTCTGGAGGGCTAAAGTGGTGTCACGTTGTGGCTTTCATATGCATATCCCTTGTGACAAAGTCGAGCACCTTTTTTATATATTTAATGGTCATTTGGATATTATTTTTTGTGAAATTATTTTTGTTCATTTTTTCGATTGAATTGCCTGCCTTTTTCGTACTGGTTTATA